AGATTGAAAATATTCTTATCCGGGAAATTGCCCTTGTGTCTGAAACTGAGAGTATTCGATCAGTCGGCGCTCTCAGTACTAACCTCTGGACCGTAAGCTTGAAGGATATGTATAAACTGGAGATTGCGTAAAGTAGTATGCAAAGATGTATGTAGACAATAGCAAGAAAAGCTCTGATTTTAAATAAGTGGGTAAGAGCATATACAAGAGGCTGTGATGTAACTCTCCGAGTGAAGAAGTTAAAGTGGCAATGGGCTGGACACGTTATAAGAAGGTTCGACCTTCGCTAACCAAAAAAACGTTTAACAATTTTACAGGAGAGTAAACGGCCCGTAAGAAGACTTCCAGGTCAATAGCGAGGTGAGTTGAAGAACGTCACTGAATCAAGATTGATTAAAATGGCAGATAACAGAAGCTTATGGTCTTGGAGTCTTGGAGACGCCTTCATCCAGCAGTGAATCATAAATTGGCTGACGATGGCTCCTTGTAACCGCTCTATAAAAACAGGTTTTTCGTCGCATAAAGCATTACAACTACAAAATAAGCTGTCTTGCCAAATTGTATGCAATTACGAAACTATTAAAGATTAACTGACAGTTAGTGGATAGCATAGTCAGCGATTGGCACTTCCTCCTATTATAAGTGCTTTATCAGGGTTTTGACTTTAATGCAATCCGCGCTCTTTTCGATGCTGCCAGGATTCTAAACGAAACGAAAGTGTTGGAATCATATATTTTCATTTCAATGCGCCAGGACCCCAGAAATATCGCAGATAGCCAGATATTTACATGGGTGATTAGAGATTTTGATTCTTGACTGATATTTCATGAACTGGCTGTTTTCTTGGTACATGGTTAGGAAGCCCAAGAGTGGAACAGAGACGGAAAGGTTTTATTACCATTTAGCGCATTTTGTTACCACCACCGGTAACATCATCTCGACTGAATTATGATTTTTATTCCAATGGTTCTTACTCGGTCCTGATGATGTTACCGATGTTAATAACGAAACATATTGACTGGTAGTGAATCCTTCCTATCTCACGCTTGGGTTTCCTAACCATGCATCAAGAAAACAGTCCATTTGACACCGTCGCCTACTCTATGATGGTCTGATAAGTCGATGTCAGAAACTTTTACAGTACGCAAACGATGCTGAACGAGGTTAGAGGCATCGCTACATTTGCTAGCTCTGTCAGAGACTAACCTTTACAGCTGTAGGACAGAAGCAACGATTGCACTTCATTGCCGATGACACTGATATGATGATACTTCTATAGGTAGTCCGACCACGTGGTTAAATTGTTAAGTTCTGTAGTGACTGATGAGGTTGAGAACTAATCGCACAGACCAATATCAACAAGGTATCGAATAATGTTGAATAGTAGCCTCTGATCTGTGATATGATCAGTCAGATAATTAAAATTAGGAAGA